CGTTAAATAAATTTAAATGATATTTAAGAAAAATGCTGTCCATTTCGAATACTGAAACGCGTGGAATAATATAAGACAATACAATCAACATGTTATTGACAGAACGAATGTGGAAAATTTTGAATTGATTTATATGAACAACATTCCACATTGGTGTACTCCGTAATATATTTGGCGTGATAGATAATATTATATGTACTAGATGAATCTTGTGATGCGCAGTATATTATTGGACCATAAAATCCATATGATATTATGACAGAATGAACATGGAATATTTTGGATTGTCTTGTGTAAACCTCATTTCATTCTCCGAACAAGAAATCCGTAGTATTTCAGGCTCTTTACAAGACATTAGATGATATTTACAAATACAAAAATGGTTCATTGCGCATTCCGTAAAATAATGTAAGGGCATAAAATCGATATGAAATATTGACAGAATGTAAATGCAAAACATCGAATGAAAATTAGTAAACCTTATTCCAAGCACCGGATTTCCATAATATTTCAGACTCGATAGAATGTATAAGATGATATTTATTAAAAAAAATGTTGTTCATTGTGAATCACGCAATGCGTAGTATAATATAAGACCTTTTACGCGATATGACATATTGACAGAAAAAGTGCGGTAAATTATGTGGTGTCAAATGTATACCTTAATCCACGTACCGAAACTCCGTATTATAGCATGATAAATAATATTAGATGGAATTATTGACAAAAGAATGGAGTTCATTGTGAACCCAGCTATACGTAGAATAAAAGACCATAAGATTGATATAAGGTATTGATAGAATGATTGTGGTAAATTTTGAATAACAATATGTCGACATCATTCCCGTAACGGATCTCCCCAATGTTTCTGGTTAGATAAATAATATTAGATGATATTTATGTACAAAATACTGCTGTTCATAGTGGTCCAGCGGTGCGCAGAATAATATAAGACACTAAAATAAACATGATATGTCGACAGAATGAATATGCAAAACTTTGTATGGTCATATGTGAATCTCATTCTATGTACGGGAACTCCGCAACACTTCAGGCTAGATAAAAATATTAGTAGTCATATATGTTTAAAAAAATTA